ATATGGACATTGAACGTAATTTAGAAAGTGTGTATTGGGCAAGTAACAGGAAACAGATGAAGATAACTGATTACTGTACTCGTATCTAGGTACAGTAAGGTACAACAATTGATGTAATCTACTGTAATTTGGTGAGTGGGCCTACCTTTAATATACAGTATTAGTGCAGCGTGTATTGTCAGTGAAAAGCGCTGTAATACGTCTTTGATATTACACATTTGGGCAGTTCCACATTAATGTTACGTTAGTCTGTACTTAACCACGTCTTTCACTAAAAAAAATGCAACATTTTAACTCGTTTTTGGTAGATTTTTACGTGACTAACATAAGGCTACTGTGGAAGTGCCCATTTCGGTTACAACGACATTCATTTATAACGACACTATTTTTAGGTCCCTTTGATGACATTATAACCAAGTTCTACTGTACAATTAAATTGTTACACTTAAGACGGTGTTTGTCTCATAAATATTAGACAATCCGACATTGACTTCCTAACTGATAATTCGCCACTGAAAACCAATCCTTGAATGTGTCACGCTTCCTTGAGGGCTCTGGAAGCATTCATCTGCAAGCACCGATGAATATTTCCTCATCAGTTCTCGAAACAAAGCTGGGCTATATTTGGCTGACCAGGTCGTAAACAGTCATATCTAAATGTAAATAGTATCAAAACCAGTACTGTGATAAACGATTTCATTGTTCAGAGCTAAGAAATGAACCACTGACATGAACTTACATGGGTTTGTTTTGGTTTCAAACCGAGCACTCCCAAAGAGAGGATGTGTCCTGCTGCATATACTTATAACATTCAGCCGTTAAAGGTTAAAGAAGTAAAGTGGAGTAAATTATTAGGGTTCAGAAATGTGTGATTTTGTGTCTGTGTGTGTATGTGTATGCTTTGTAATGTGGATTGCTTGTTTAATGGTGAGAATTATGTGGCTGGGTGATTAGGGGTGTTATGCCCCTAAGGCCATAATGGAGAGTTGGAACCCCAGGGCCCCAAAAATATGTATAGAAAGAATAGTCTTACCATACAGGTGGTTGGTATGATGGAAAGGAATGCTGAAACCACATATTGAAATGCATGGTAGCTGTAGAGATTGTAATCAGGTCATTAGGAAATTGCTGATGAGCAGAAGTCAGCTATTAAATATCCTAGGCGGGAAGAACAGGGTAGCCATTTGATAGAAAAATGTTGGCAGGTGTCAGGGGCCCCTATGCCAGATATCACCTTGACATTATTAGTGAGAAGTCACACGGCAAAGTAGCACCAAACCTTCAACCACACCATGGATTTAGTGAAGCACCTAGTTTTCACCATCATTCACACTATGTAATCAGAAAGCTAGAGAGTACTAGTAGGGACCGATCTGGGATGAGTAGGATCAGTATGGTGAGATTAACCATGTCTGGGGGCACGTGGTAGCATAGTTGGTTGAGGCATTATGCTACAAGCTTGAAGGTTGTGGATTCGAGTCCCGATGGGGTGTATTTTTTCAATTGACATAATCCTTCCAGCTGCACTATGGCCCTGGAGTTGACTCAGCCTCTAACAGAAATGAGTACCAGGAATATTCCTTGGGCTAAAGGGTGGTGGACGCATAAGGCTGACAACTTTACCACCATCTGTGAGCTGATTTTCTAGATAATGCGGGACCCTCAATGTCTCACAACCCTATGGGCCTCCATGGCCTGTTACATGGATAGCTTTAACTTTCTGACCATATTTGTAAATAATGTAAATATACACCCCTCTTGTGTTTCGGGTTAATTCTGGTATCCCCCTCCCTGAAAAGACCGTATGTTGGCTGCCGTTTGGTGGCAGAAGCCAGTCCAGTTAGGCTGAATTAAGTGTAGACCCCTCCTAATACCCAGATCTTGAATCATGTAACTTGAAAGGTCACCCTGTTCATACTGACCCTTTTGAGAATCTAATCAGCTAACGGGGTAAATAGAGCAGCTGTGGTTAATGGTAGCTAACAAGCTCAGGGAGCAGACTGCTCAGCTATATAGTTTGGAGGTAGCTCAGGTACACTGCACCTGAGGTGTCTCCATTCTCCTACCTCACCACCTCTGTCAGCACTTTCTTCATTGAAGTGCAGTCGTATAACAGGGGGTGCTAATGGATGGCTTTTTACTTGTATTCACCTTGCTTTTATGGACACTTTTTGAAGTAGTGTATGTATATATATATATATTTATTTATTTGCAGTGTGTGGAGATATGTAGTTGTATTTGTAGTTATTTGTGAATAAATCTTGCATATTGTAGGTGCAGGATAGTCTATATTGTGTGTAGTTGTTAATTTTCATGTAGCATTGATGATATCTCCTAGATCTGTAACAGTATCCAAATTATGTTGTAGAAGTAGCTGTTTCTGACACAGACATTTGTGCTGTGATGATGAATGGTTACTAAACACTTAGTGTACTGGCAGTCTGCAAAGTAGGCTTTTCTGTTATGGTGTGTGTAAGGTTCAGTTGGCAGTTTTGTATTTTAGCATCCCGTTACATTGATATCAATTATTCATCACTGTACTCGTATATTTCCATCTCAATGCAACACAAGATAGTTACAGTCACTTTAGTCTATATCCACTGCACATTTTGGTTGTATATGGCTATCATCAAGTGTCCTCATTATGCCAAACTGTTCACTGCACTGCTGGTCTCAATGTTAAAATTAAAATTAAAATTAAAATAGGTCACCCTATTAGATTTAGTAAAAATTATGTTGCTTCTCCATGTGGGATCTATTAGCATAATCTTTGGCAGTGTGGATGTGTTTCATGTAGTTCGTTGATGTTGGTGTGTGTTGGTTTCTTTTATATATGTCTCCTTGGTTGTAGGCCCATTACCCCACATGTATAGTGTGTTGTTGCAGCCAGAATTTGGCTGCATGCACATCTTATCAGAAGAAAGTAGGCCATTAGTTTTTTCCAGAATGTCTTTATATTTGATTTTATACACTTTATTAACACTTGTTGTGTAGATGGCTACCTTGTACCTTGCTGTATGGCTATAATACGTGGTGCAATCCAAAAGTTCCCAAAATATATTAATAAAAACTATTACATCTTACCTAGATCTTATTCTGCACCATCACCTTCAAAGTAGTCCCCTTGGGAGCGCATACACTGATCCCAGCGTTTCTGACATTTTTCAAATGCATCCTGGAAGTCTTTCTTTGTTAGGATGTTTAGTACCATCTGCGTTTCCGCTTGAATTTCCTCAACTGTATCAAATCTTCGCCCCTTCAACTTGATTTTCATCTTGGGGAAGAGAAAGAAGTCGCATGGAGCTAAGTCTGGCAAGTACGGTGGGTGGGGAACAACTGCCATCTTGTTTTTAGCCAAAAATTCCTGCACAATGTAAGCCGTATGCGGTCGTGCGTTGTCATGGTGGAGTACCCAGTCGTTCGTGCGCCACTTCTCTGGACGTTTTCTCCTCATGTCCTCCCTCAAACGCCTTAGAACATCGCGATAGAACTCTTTATTGACTGTCTGACCAGGAGGGACGAACTCCTTATGAACAATCCCGTCAATATCAAAAAAACAGATCAACATGGACTTAATGTTGCTCTTGACTTGTCGAGCTTTTTTTGGCCGAGGTGAAGAAGGGCTCTTCCATTGTGACGATTGCTGCTTGCTTTCAGGGTCGTAGCCATAAACCCAACTTTCGTCACCAGTGACAACCTTCGAAAGAAAGTTTGGATCCTCTTGAAGCTGTTGCTGAAGTTCCCTGCAGACTTCCAAGCGATGCTGCTTCTGTTCATTTTGCAGCAGTCGTGGCACAAACTTCGCCGCAATCCTCCTCATGTTCAGTTCCTCTGACAAAATTCGTTGACATGTACCATAACTTAGTCCCAAGGTGTTACAGAGGTCTTGGATGGTCAGTCTATGATCTTGCAGAATCAGATCCCTAACTTTCGCGACATTTTCTGGTGTTTTGCCCATTGACGGCCGTCCCGAACGATCGTCATCATCAGTCAATGTTCGGCCATTTTTAAAACGCTTATACCAGTTGTAAGTTTGTGTCTGGCCTAAACTGTTTTCATCAAAAGCTTGCTTCAACATTTGGTGCGTTTCTGCAGCGGTTTTCCCAAGTTTCAAACAAAACTTTATACACACACGCTGCTCTCTCAGGTCAGCCATCGCAAAACCGCAAACTCACGGAAACACAACAATGGAAATATGTTCACCAACAATAAACCCAACCACTCAACTCAACGCCGCTTGCCACACTGATTCAAGAAGGATGTGTGAGGAGACACCTAGCAGTATTTCGATGTACTCATAACCATTCGTGCGCAAAATTCAAATTTCGGAAACTTTTGGATTGCCCCACGTATTTTGCAGTAGCATCACTACATTTTGTTTATGCTTTCGGACCCTATTTCAGGGCAATGCTATACAAGGAAAGGAAAGTTTTTTCAGGTTTGTAAAGGATGCATTACATTATCTGTCACAGATGTTCTCACAGGTTGGTAGTGATGTGTCCATTATTTGTCCCCAGTAGCAATCCTGTTAAGAATATCTTCTCCTTCATCTGCCTACCATAAGAGATATTGCAAGGGCAGGCCCATTCGGTTAACTTTTTCTCAGTCCTTCAGTTCTCTAGGCACACTTTCCAAAATGTCACATGATCTTGCATTATGCTGTATGTTAAACCATAGGAACACCTTAATGCAGTTGCCATGCTGTCTTTCGTTATCCTCCTGTCAGCTCAAATCAACTCTTCCACCCATTGCACAGTTGCTTCTGCCTCAGTCTCAACAGGGCGACCTGGTTGGCCATCATCTGTGACTTTCCAGTGCCCTTGATAATTTCTTGACCCAGTTGTGTACTGCTTTACATGACAAGCACTTGCTTCTTTACGCCCTCATACTCATTTCTGTGAGAGGCTAAATTGACCCTAGAACCATAGTGCAGCTGGAAGGATTAGGTCAATTGAAAAATCCAATGACCTTCTGGCTTGTAGCTTAGTGCCTCAACCAAGTACACTACCATGTGCCCTGTATGAGCATTTTTAGCATTTGTAAGTCTTGTTTTTCCATTTTGTTATGATTTTCAAAATATTTGTGTTTGTCTAAATTTCTGAATAATACAGCAACTTTTTAAATAAGTAATTACATAGAAGTCATGTAGATTACTGCCCTTGTAGTCAGTGTCATTAGAACCTCAGATCTCAGAAAGAAGTTCATGTATTTTAAATTTTGAAAAGAACACTTTCTTGCACACGATTGAACACATAAAGAACATCACAAACACCATTTTATAATTGACCCGCTCTTGAAAGTGCTTCTTTTCTACATATGCATGTACATGGTCTTTTCTCAGTGCTAACAAAGATTTTCTTTTTTACCCTTTTTTCTTAGTAAGAAGAAGGTGCCAGTACTCTGATGTCATGAAGGCAGTGAAATATGTTTTATAATTTTTGGCACAAAAAATAAACTCAATTTGGGAATAAAAATGTATCCTTGTTTCAGTCTCCATTATGTTTTCATTCATAGCAGCAGCTTTTCCTGTAGGGCCTGCTAGACTAATTCCTGGCCATAACTAAATTTTTAAGATAATCTCTTAATCTTTACATGTTATCCAAATAACCTTAGGGACATATAATCCAGTAAACCCCATCACCTAAATATGGCTCTGGCAGATGTTTTCATGAAGTTAGTATTCAGTAACAATAAAATTAACAATTTAATAATATATAATTTAATTTCAAACATGAACATTATTCAAAAAGGACTACAGTTTTAAAATACTTCAAGATCACATCACCTTCAGTTAATATTTCCTTAAAAACGAAGCTTCTATACTTCATGTATGCTTTCATGACTTAGTGCTTGGACAGAAGTGCAACTGTTTTAAGATGTAGGCTATAACAAATTACATAAAAAAATTCTCTGTTATATTTTGATCTACACAATCCTAACACATCAATGCCAGTGCACCTCTAAACATGCTTACTCTCTCATAAATTTAAACAGTGATGAACTATCTTAGACTGCCTCTGTGGTCTAGTGATGAGAGTTCCTGGCTACAGATCTTGAGGTCCTAGGTTCGATTCCCAGTGCTACCATATTTTCTGAGAAGTAGTGGGTCTGGAATGAGGTCCACTCAGCCTCATGAGGATAATTGGGGAGCTATTTCAAGGAAATAGCGGCTCCGGTCTAGAAAACCGAGATTAACGGCCATGGGGATCCGTTGTGATGACCATGTGATACTCTCTCTATCTGCAAAAGTTGGTACTAACTTCGCCGACGAGCGGCAGTCGCTCGGTCGGTATAGTTCACTTGTGGACTACAGGCCATGGATTTTTTTAATGAACTATCTTATATCTAGAGTAGATTGCTTTTATGTACTCTGTTCTGTTTATCTGTCTGTGAACATTTGAAATATGGCTGCCCATATAATAACTTCTAAACTTATTTTCATTCAGGGCTTTGAAATGTTATTTATCATCTAGTCACTGATCACACATGTAACTCCTATGGAGGTGATTTTAAAAAGTATGCTAAATATGTTTCAAGTGAATCTGTGTGCATGTATGTGTGTGCATGCATAAACTTTCATTCATGAGTGTTTCACAGTGTAAATATATATAACCACAGTACTCAAACAATGACTCCCCATAAAGAATGTAGCTGCTGTATAATGGAAAATATGTCATATAGAGATGGTATTACTATCTTCATATCATGACATTATTACTTTATTGAAGAAAAATGAAACATAACTTTTACAGAGTCAGTTTATATAGTATTATTTAGCTGTCAGAACATTAGAATTTGTATTTACCAGGTCTCAGCCATGGTGTGTAGTGATGACAAGCTGTTGGTCCTCTCTGCCACCCATCATATTCTTTGCCTCTCCACAACTGGGAGTAAACTGAATGTTGCCCTCTGGCTTCTACCTCAGAAATGGATTCATTTACTCTTGTCAGGTGGGCTGAGGGTGGGAAATCAAGAGGACCATACCTAGAGGTGTTAGAACGAAAATATTTTCTTGCATAATACATATAATTTTTGCCATGTGTATAAAAAGATTATACAGATGTTTCCAGTCATGACTGAGAACAACAGTTTGTCTAAAGGGCTGAAGTAAAATGTATAGGTGAGAATAGGTGAGAATGTGTATAAAAAGATTATACAGATGTTTCCAGTCATGACTGAGAACAACAGTTTGTCTAAAGGGCTGAAGTAAAATGTATAGGTGAGAATAGGAACTTTGCCATAAGATGCATTCATAAGGTAGGAGTAAAAACAGTTATTTTATGAAACCAAAGAAAGTGTAAAATATTTCAGTGGCCCCTAAGCATGAACTTTACTTGTTACCATTAATTGTCAATTTTTATAAACTGATCCCAAGCAGGATAGCTTACTGAGTGGAATTAGCTACACATTAGATGACAGGGCTTCAGTTAGCAGTAAAACAGGATTTTTCTTTTTGCCACAACCCAGTCACACATCCCATGGATATTAGGGGCTCTACCCACGGGGACTAACCAGCCAGAGTGTCTAGGGTTGAGGTTAAGAATGCGTGCAATTTTACCTCTACTCTGATGATATGCCTTCATGACATGGTGCTTAGGTACTGGGACAACTTCATTGTTATGTATGAATTAAATGCACCTGGAGAAACTGAGATTTATTATGTACTTATTTTATAACATAAAAATTATTGAAAATGTAAAAAATGTTTTAAGTCTGTATCATGCGATTTGATTTCTATATATGCATAATTAAGCTACATCTGTAAAATATATTTTGTATTGAAATAAATGTAATTCTCTTGTAAATAGTGTAACTGTAGATTTAGAGAAAGTTAAATTTATGACATTAAAATGTACTTACAATCAAATAATTACATATTGCTTAATTAAAAAAAATGTTATTTGATTGAGCATAAATTTGGAGAAATCTTCGAAGCATAGAGGAGCAATGTAGACCTATTTTTAAACTTTCTTACAAGAAATTAATTACAGTGTATGTTTTAAGGACATGCAAACAATATATTTTCAATAAATAATTTATTACATTTTATCTGTTGTAATCTATTGTTCTTTATTTTACCTGGAAAATGAGGCTTGTGATACCATGTCCATGTGTTTGAGTGTATGTGTGCATATTCATGTCTCTCCCATTTACAGGATTGTACCAGACCTTGTGAAACTTACTGAACATTGTAATGTAGCAGTTAGCAGGTTTGCTTCACATTCCTGAGATTCCAGTTTCGATTCTCAGTCTGGAGGCTGGCTATACATACTGAACATTCCCATGGTTTTCCACAGCCTCCCTAGATGGAATACTACCTTAGAAACAGGCTTGGGCCATTTGCTCCCATGTCTTTTCTCATTTGTCATTCATAATTATCTACCATTTGACATTATACAACCTGTGTGTTTGAGACAGTAGAATGAGGACCAAACCTAAGTGATCCCTATCTTAATGGAACTTAGAATATGGAATTTTCCAACCAGAGCTGATGCTTTAGCAGGGGTGTTTTCAATGAATCTTATGAGTATGGGCGCAACTTTTTGACTGATGTTACAATGTGGTCCTGTCTTACTCAAATGCACTAAAGAAACTGCTGAAAGTGATGTCCAACCACATCAAAACAGAGAAATTTTGGGACACTTGATGCAGCTGACCTGAAATATTGCATATTACACCCCTAATTTTATTCTGAACTACCTCTGGAGTATGAAAGTTGTTGCTGTACACTTTTTGTTACAAGTTTCTCCACGCAGAAAAACTACACACTAAAATGTGACAAACATGGCAGACATAATCACCATCCAGTTATCCTTTCACTAAATATTTCATGAAGGGCCTCCTTAGAATGTTGTGGTGTGTGGGCTGTTGTGTTATCCTGCTGGAAATACTTATTTTGCTCCTTGTTTTCAATGGGCATTTGAATGGTTCCAAAATACTCTTCATGTAATGCTCTGATTTCACTGTTGTAAGAAACCATAGGCCCAGTTATTCTCTGACCACTAACTACACACCACATGCCCACATTTCGGTCACAAAGTTCTCAGTGTCCCAATGATGGGTGCTCTAGTCGTTCACAAAACCACCAAGATGAAATCAAGCTTTGTTGCTTGTGAAAAGAAGTGCTGGATTGACAGTCCCATTATTGGCAAATGAAACATCAAAAAAATTTTGGACCACTGACACTTTGTAAGTGTAAAACGTAAGGTCTTCAAGACCTCTTAGCGTCCTATTGCACTGATTCATATTCATAATGTGTATGTATTAACAGTCTTCAAGTGCATACAATCCCATTTACCACTTCTACACTACATGTTTCGGCAGTATGCTGCCATCTTCAGGTGTATCGATCGATCCATCAACTATTTCACTGCTTGCCTTTATATGTCCATTTACAAATAATGTTAAATTTGTATACGTCCTTATATAATAATAAAGTTTATGTATTTAAAACTTGTTAAAACCTCTTATCTCATACGTCATATTTTAAATTCATGTGTATTATCCAGTTCATCCAACGATACAACGCGTGCAGGCACAAAAGTAGAACACATAAGACATAATATACACACAACATTAGAAACATAAGAACAACAACCCCCATGTGGATGATGAATAACACACATTAATTTAAAATATGACATATGAGATAATAGTTTTAACAAATTTTAAATACATAAACTTTATTATTATATAAGGACGTATGCAAATTTAATATTATTTGTAAATGGACATCCGCCGATGATAGGTGAGGGTGATTGTGGAGCAATTGGTTGAATGAAGATTGGCAGGGGAAACCGAGGTACTTGGAGAAAACCTGCCCTAGCGCCATTTTGTCCACCACAACTCCCACTTGACCAGACCCAGGATCGAACCCGGGCCGCCATGATGGGAAGCCAGCGACTAACCGCTTGAGCTATTCATTCATTCATTCATTCATTTATTTTTCGTTCCATGGATCCACAATACAAGTGAGATATAGGACATGTCCATACAGTGATGGGGCCATCCGTCCTTACTATAAGAAACATCTCTCAGTGAGATAACAGTGTGGGTAAAAACTGAGCCTTTATTATGATAATGTGACTCATAGTCAAAATGATGCCTGCACTCATGTTAAAGTTCTGTACAGTGCTGCCTGGCCAGTGCCTCAGTTCTGGCGGGGAAAAGCTGCAAAGAGGGTCTGGTTAAAGTGCAGATCTCCTAGGCTTCATTCTCACTGTATTATGAAAGGGTGGCTGTATTTTAATTTTAATTATGTAAAATTGTAGATTCATTTTTCTAAGTAGTCATAAGCTCTACATTTATGAAATTTGGCATGCACATAGTCGAGGGCTCTTTTGTATCTCCTAATTTTTTTCTATACTAAGTTACTTATGAACTTACAGACAACAGATTCAGAGAACCCTTAAGTACATGTGTGCTAAATTTAAAATGTAATGTGTATGGTTGCTTAGAAAATGCTTCTAACTTTCATAAAATTAACACTGTGAAGACAGGGTTTTCAGCCTTCCCTTAAATAAACTAAGAAACAAATAATTCATGACATTCAGTATGAGCATCATGCCACTGAAGACTATCTACTAAGTTTGCTAATATTAATACCAAGATATCTGTCTTACTGATGCTGTCAAGGACTAAATAAGGTGGTATGTGTGAATACCCTTCTTTGAAGTACATCTTAACCTAATAGAATTATGGGGGATCTTCAAAAAGTTTCTGCACTTTTATAGTTCTGAAGGAAATGGAAAGAGCAGGAAGGGGGGGGGGGGGTACTGTAGNCAGGAGTGGGGGGGGGGGATACTGTAGGGTGTCATGTGCATAGTCAGCAAGGCAAGCCTGTTGACGTGGCAGTTAGTGTGAGAGTTGCTACAAAGCGGTGAACATGGCAGTGAAACTTGAGAATTGCACCAAGGAGGAGCAATGATCTGTGATAAGTTTTTGTAGGCAGAAGGTGTACCACATGGACAAATTCGTCAGTGCAAGTACGTTCAGTATGGGGACAGTGCTCTCTCTCATAGAGTTGTATATGAGTGGATTGAAATGTTACAAAACGTTGACTCACAGGAGATTGTTGTTGCTAATGGCCATTTAATTCTCTTCACTGAAGTGCAGCCACTCCTCCAGTACATGGATCTGGTGTATGATACTGCTGGTACTTGTGCCCCCCACAGTTTGGTATTGTTCTACGCTGTGTTTGTAGTCCCATATTTTCAGCACATCATCCTCAAACTTTTCACTAGAAGGCGTGAGATTAACTGTTACACAAAGTTATGTTTACAAGATAAACTGTATTTTTTTATCTCTAATTGTAAAGTACATGTTTCAGTTGTAAATGATCATTATCAGGTGATACAAAAAAGTTAAAAATATCTATACATATAAGAATGTGCAGAAAATAGTGGATTGGGTTGGATCTGACTTAATTTTACATGATATATGTATCAAACTGGCAATACCTGCCCCAATAAAAACATCCATTGTTGTCCTAAATTATCAGATATTTACGAATTTTCTGTAGTTTTGATTATATTATATAACTCAGGCACTTCACACACCTGTGCTGTACCCACTATCTGCAACCTTTGTATACCTATCATAGTCATATTCCAACTGTGCTTATATACATATTCTCACATCCAAATACATACACTGCACTATATCAGGATGTCAATGCTTGCTGTCATACATACATTCTGCTTTATCAGTCATGTCTTCAAAATAAAATGTTACAGCATATTAGCATGTCTGTCCTTACCTCAGAGACACAAACTGTATTATATTAACCAACCCCAGCTATTCACAAGACAGGAAAACACCAAGAAGACTATTACAAATATTTGAAATTAATTTTTATTTTTCGCATCCTCTTGTGTCATAAATTTGAAGTACTGGGGCCACTGACACAGTAACAAGTAAATTCTAATAAAAGCTATTAAAATAATAAAAAATATCAATTGTTTACCCAGTTCTATTGTCTCATTCAACCACTACATGTTTCAGTTGCCAGTGCCATCATCATGTGGTTTTTATGTATTGTGACATGTTGACCCCTACCTCCCCAGCTGCACGTAGCGGTAACGTAACGCTCGCGTAATAGGCGAGTAATCACCCCGCATCCTGGCAGCTATGCGCGGTGACGTCACGAGCAGAGCCGAAGAGAGCCGAGCGGAGCCGAAGATAGCCGAGCCCCCGCAACCTGGTAACTACGCAAGGCAGGTCAACAGCGGTGACGCAACAGGATGACGTGGCACTCATTACGCAACAAGCAAGCACTGCAGCTATATAAGTGAGCTGCACAGTGGCTGCGAGTCAGTTATAAAGTAACAGTCGCTGAGTTGAAACATAGCAGCCTGCGAGTGTGCGATACTTAAGAAGTCAGCGAGCGGAAGACTTTTCATGTGCTTTCCAGACATAGTGAGTGCTGTAGTACAGTTATACTCGGAGTGTGTAATTCAGGGAGACTTGTATAGTTCCCGCGTTATTAGTACGTGAAGACAAGTGAAGATTGTGTTAAGAGATTTTGTTGTAGGGTTTGTACAGTGTGGAAACCCGTAATATTGTGATAATTAATTGTAGCCGTTATTTGAAGATTGTTAAATAAACCAATTAACCATCTCTACGGCGTCTTCAGTAACGAAACACGTTACAGTATTTTATTTCCTTATTTGCAAACCACCTGATGATGGTCCATGTGACCGAAAAATGTAGTGGTTCAATGAGGCAGTAAAATTGATTAAACCACTGATTTTTGTATTGATTTTAATCGATTTTGTTAAAATTTTACGTACTTGTGCTAATGGTCCTAGTACCTCAGATTCAAAATTAACTTACAACATAAAGTTGTGACCTACTTTAGATTCACTGAGAGAGACTGTATGCAGAGAATGGACTTATACACATAGCACAGGAGTATGAATTGCCTATGTGAAATTAAATCAGTTTTGACTGAATTCAGTGTATGCTCCACATTTTTATTGTTTTTGTGTTTTAATAAATTTGCACTTAACAGTAGAGATTCACTTAGTGAGGGGTGAAGTTCAACTGGGTCTACTCAGCATGGTAGCCTGCCCCGGGTGATTATGATGATGGAGAATTTGGTGGAATGAAGATTGGCAAGGGAAACCTAAGTACTTGGAGAAAACCTGCCCCAGCGCCACTTTGTCCACCACAAATCCCACTTGACCAGGCCCAGGATCAAACCCGGGCCGCCACGGTGGGAAGCCAGTGACTAACCGCTTGAGCTATGGCTCGGCCGTAACAGTAGGGATACTCTTAACTGGTTTGTGTGTGTCACCTGATTATGACTATTTGCAGTCGAAACGTGGTATACAGTTACAGATAAAAAGCAATAAGGTTTTTGTGTGTTTTTAATATTGCTTTCAATATTAAGATTATATAGAATCAGAAATTTTTAACAAAAGTGTGTATGGTGGTTAATCTTACATGATGAAAGATAAACACAAACAGGATGCAATCTTACAAAGAAATTACTAGAAACATATAATAAAAGTGCCATATAAACCCACTATCGATATTATATAGTCTAAACTACTAAAAACCATAAATAAATAACCCATTGTTGACCATCATCATGTCTTGAGACATGGTCCTGTTCATACAGCCATCCCATGTCTTCAAAGTGTTTTGTAGTTTCCTTTGAGATTGTGCTAATGTTTGATCCTGTCATCAGCAAATGGCAGCCTTGTGTTATATCTTTTTTTGACCAAAGGATGAATATTATTTATCAGTATACCCAAATACGGTTTAAAAATAAGGTACACTGCAACAGCAGGGACTTTTCTGCCCTTTGAGTGTTGCTGCAAGGGAGGCAGGGTGCCATATAAAAAAATTTTCAGTGATATGTATCAACTTTATCAGCTTCAGTCATGAAACGTGGAATGTTGCAACTGAAACATCCTAGGTTCAGTTCTTCACTGGGAAGGTGGTGATCCAAATTGAGGTTTTCCATGCTATTCTTCAGTCTCCAGTTAAATATTTGAGATTTTTTCTTATAATTCTTAGTGGGTACTGTGGCCACTATTGGCCTATTGTACTAGCCCCACATGACAGACTAGTTGCCCCATGGAGTTATTACCTGACTGACTTCAACTGTTCCAAAGATAAACTTGGCATATCTACACGTTGTTTCTCTGATAATATTACAACTTCGCCAGCTAAGTGATGAGCTTCCCGAAATGCAACCTGGAATCAAAGTTACATAATTTTACAAGATTCCTGGAACTTTCAGGATGACACATGTTTGAATAAAACTGAGCTTCCCCATACTAATACACAGTTCACTCAATTACGGTATTAAAATTTAATACCATTTGTTCATACTGTTACTGGCACTACAACTGATTAGTTCATTGAGGTGTAAACCCCTTGCAATGCACTGGAGTAAAAATTCTAACTCTTAAGTAAATGAGCCCTTTGTTTAACATCACCAATACCAAAGCTGGCCATTGGACATGATTCTGAGCCAGTTCCACCCATTTCCTACATTTGCAAATTGTTTCTCTTTGGTCCATCCTAACGGTGCCAAATCCCAGAAGACTGCTTTCTTCATAGTCACCGCCGTGAAAGCCTCAAATCTTACATGATATCATCTTGTTTTCCATGTGGTCAGTTTTCAAAATGTATCTCCACCAAAATTCGTGTACTCTTTGTCTCGCACATTCTAACTGTACTCGTATATCTAGTCGAGCCTTCTAGATTTCATTACCTTAACAGTAGGTGACTTGCATTAATCACAGACTTATTCATTATGTAGTATCCAACACTGCCCACATACTTCACCCTTTTGAAAGCCATATATTTTCCTTAGCATTTTGTTTTCAAACACTTACAGTTGTGTTCTTCCTTCAAATCATGAGACTCATTTTCATTGTACAAAACAACTAGCAGAAGTTCTGTTCTAAATATCTGGATCTTAAATAATTAAACATAGTAAAATTAATTATCCTTCTCCCCATATGCTAAAAGGAAACGTACCAAGAGCATTTCAGTCACAAGGTCTGATAGCATTGGTATACAGTGACCTCAAATGGCATGGCGAGGGCTTAATATTGGTTAATCCTATGATTGCTCTGCAAGTCTGCAACATACTTATCCATGTATGCTGAGCTTTTAGGAAATGTATTTATACTTATGGGTTGTCGTGGGGGGGGGCATATTCTGCTCCCCCCCTGGATTCTGGAAAAAGAAATAAAAAATATAACAAAGAAGGAAATATGCCAGAAATTTAAATTATTTTAAAAATGATTCTGTTCTGAATATAAAATGTGATCCATAAATACGTTCTTCAGCAATTAAAACATAAGTTTCTTAGAAAATTTTCTGGCTCCCCCCCACCAGGCAGTATCCAAGCGGTACCCATGTATAATATACATGTAATGTAATCATAAACACATATTGCAAAGCACCTTCAACAGGTGCCTCAAGAGTGTACTTTGCTGTCAAGTTAGCAATAGCCCAAATAAATGCTGGTCAGAACAGGCATTTCCACACATTTCCAAACATTTCCAAGCAGGTTGGTGTAATGGTAGCACTCCATGTTCATAATCTTAAGATATTTCTTTTGAAATTTAGCAAGGCTATCCTTGCTGAAGTTTTTCATGGTTTTCAGTGGTTTCCCGAGGTAAACACTAGGACAGTGCCTTGAAATAGGCCACATCTTCCTCCTTCCTAACCTGTACCTACTAGTCTGTCAGACTATGTGACATCACATTGCAGAAGATAGCACTCGTCATTGTTATATGTGTAAGACTGAGAATATGAAATCTCATTGTACCTATGTATATTTCATAACCATCTTCCATTTTACAAATATTAGTAATAATTACATGTATTAGAACGATTATAATGATTAACACTATTATGGATCCATATTAGGATATTTCAATAATGTGAGACTGCCTGAGGGTGGTCCAAAATATGGACCGAATCATGTAACAAATATTAAATTAAACCAATGTAAAACAATTTGATTGCTTTATTTTGAAATATCTGTTGTGTTGACAGCCAGAATATCATAAATCATGACACACAACAGGATGAAAACAATAAGAATATTCCATCTCACTTGATGCTGTGTAACACATGATGCAGTGTTCTTAAGCATATATCTATCAAAAAATGGCATAATATATGCCATCTGTCACAGAAATGTTCAGAACATACAGACTGGGATATCCTGGTCATATTAACTGAAAGATTAACAGAAACATATTTTATTAAGAAGAGTTATTGTAGCTAAAAAGTAAAGTTTTTCCTGTGCTTAACTAATTAAGCACTATGCCATGAAGACATGGGGAGTGGATGTATAAATCCACATTTTCTTGACCTCACCACTAGTGTGAGGTGAGTGGTCAGCTTCACCAGAGCTGGTCTGGACAACACGGAGAAATAAAAGAAATTTGACCTTACCAAGATGTGAAGGCCAAACCCTCGGTCATCCAGCGCATAACCAGTTGCTTATTTTAACTAATTATTATTAAATAATTAATAAGCATATCATTTGAAATCTCAGCTTGCCAAAAGGTTTGTTTGGTTTCCAATTAAGTACAATGTATAGAAATGTATGGGCAGAGTTTCTGACATACAGTGCAATTGTTTTTAGCCCCTTCATTGCATGTTACCTTATCAGCATTTTCCTGAACTAATGCAATTATAAGATAAAAATATGAAAAAAATATATTTTCATAGCCCAGTGAATGAAGTAGAATGCTGCAGTGAAAGACAATTATTTCTTAATATGTACTGAAATGTACAGTGTACAGTAATGGATGCTGGTTCAGCTTCAGTTGAATATCACGTCAGTAGGGTTAAATGACTAAACAAGTAATCTATGTCTTAAGAATTAATCTGTTAATCATAACACCTTTAATGCTAATTGAATTGACAACAAGATCTCAGAGCCTTAAGTTACAATAGATTTGTTCTTTGGATTTAAAACTCACCCCTTTTCTTACTAAGTAGTAGGCCAGGTCTGTGGCCAACATATTGGGTGTGAGAGCCGCAGTGCAAGATTCTTCATTCACCTGTAATAAGAAATGCTAGAATTTAAGGACCCTTAAGAACATTTGCTGAATGTGCTGGCATAGCAATAACGTTCTAGACTCATCTTTGGGAGGTGCTGAGTATTGCTTGAAATCACCATTCATCATCCATCCATTTAATGCTATATGGTCTAGCTACTGCAAGCGTCCTTAAATAACCCAAATGAATAAATATTTCAGAAATTTTAAAATGAATATCTTATACTGTAATAGCCTGGCATAGGTCTCTTTTAATTAATTCTATACAAAGTTAAAGAACAGATTTTCTAGTTTGATTTCAATACAGGTGATCCTGTCCACAGATGCTGATGTGTCTCTAAACCCACACATACTTATTGTAAACATCTTTTTTTTTTAATTTGTATATATTATATAGATATAAGTAGAGAAGACTGGTTATAGAGCAGGCCAGGTTGGATAGTTTACTCTGATATTCCGTGGGTCTCTTTCTGAATGACTGTGGGCTAGAAGCCTAGGAAGCTATGGAAGCTACAAATGCCAGGTGGTGAAGACTTGTATGAAAAGCTGCCAACGAATTCTTTGACAACACAAATTAACACGCAACAAGTTAATCATTATGACTAGATAAGTAACCAAATTCTGTAACGAAAAGAGAATCCATTTGAGAAGTATTCAAGATACTGTTGTGCAGACCTATTGCAAAGGAGGGAGGCAGGTCACCTACCAGCATATGTACATATTTCCACAGACTTCTCCAGACCACTGCCAATCTCTTGGCTCTTCTAGCAATGAGAAGTGCACAGTCCACTTGCAAAGGCACAAGCCCATTCTAGGAAGAGTGCATATGAGAAACAGTGGCCACTAGTCTGATGAGAGTCAGTCTGTGTGTGGAATCAGCATGCGGCATTCATGGGTGATGGAACAGTGTAATGAAAAGCAAGCAGTGAGCCCTGTGCTCAAAGTGATGTCAGGACCGTAACAAACTTAAAATAACTGCTCCAGAACAAAATATATCTTGCAATATTGTATATAAAACTTGTCCTGCTTGGGAATTTTTTTATATATATTATTATTTACAAGGAGGTATGATGCAAGTATAAATAATGTAACAACAACTGCAGTGAAAGAATACTACCAACAGAAATGGGTATAATGTGTAATGTAAGAGAACACACAGATTGTGACAACAAATGAACTGATATAGAAATATGTCATAAACTACAAATTATGTAATTATCCTGTTTTATTTGTCTCTTTTTTATTGATTGTCTCTTTTATATGCATTTTAATTTGACGCACTTGATTAATGGAATGAGTAATGAATGAATGTCTTAATGGAAATTTTATTTTATTTTAGTCCATTATAAATCTTGATAAATTTCTTGATCATTGTTTAATGTGTATTATAAGTATTATAAGTTTACCTCATTTAATTGCAATATTACTGTATTATTGTATAGCTACTATGTATTCTAACTTGACTTGTTCCATATCCTATGGTGTCTCACCTGTACTGGATTTACGGAATGTAAATAAATTCAATTCAATTCAATTCAGTGAATCTTGTGAATTTCATATGAGCAAGAGATTTGAACCACAAACAGTTCATATTCCTGCTGCACAATAAGAATGCTAATCAAACTGATATACAATATGACTCCAACATGTGATGGCTGACCTTAGGTAAATTCCTCAAGAAAATGTGAGACTTAAGAGAAGGAAATACCATTAATCTGGAACATGAAAGGATTTAAACTTCCCACAATTGAAAGATAAAACTGAAAAATTTCTTGACATTCCTGGTTGATGTTTTGGAACTTTTATACAACTTACATATTACTGGTTCTCCAGGGAAATGGCCTCATTATCCATTCTATATGCAGTGGTACAACAAAACTGCTAAACTGCTTTTGTTACCCAAACCAGTTAAGTAAAATAAATTTACTAATTTCTCTGCTCTACAAAGAATATGTTTTGAGTTCTGTTGCATACATTCACATTCTTAACAAACTACATGAAGAATTTTATAGATGATCTAAAAATTTCAAGAAAGTATAAATAGTACAGCAACTGTTGACCTCATCTAAACTTCAACTGGCACTGACTGACCTGCAAAGTAACAAAGGAAGGATGAGCTGGATGGGACATGTAGCAGGCATATGAGATCTTGGTATAAATGGAAGAATAATAAAAACATGAAACAGAACCACAGATATAGGAAACATCCCTGAAGGTGAAATGGGGATTTCATGAGAGTACAGTATCTTAATATCTAAGAAATATATAAACTTAGAGAAGAAACAGAATTGTTGTGATAAACACAGACATGGCAAAACCAAAAAAATGAATGATATCATAAGGGTTGGGGTACTGTGGTTCTTCAACATGCAAAGGAAGATTGAACAAGGGAATATGAAGAAAGGAAAACTTGAGAGTCCTCCTTGCATCCCCCATCATTACATGAAACAACCTATTTTGACAGAATTGTACTGTGGCCTACTCAAACAAAATGGTTTGAAAACCCTACTGTAGAACATAATTAATATCGGAAGGAAAGGGAAGAATTATGAACTTAAATATTTTCTTTGGTTTACAACTGTCCCATTTCAGATGGAAGTGCTATCATATATATATTCTCACCATGAGTGTTTTAACTGTTCCCATTGCTACTTGAAGGATGCTCTCAAGGCTGTCATAAGTGTCAAACATGGCTTGCTTGTCCTCCTGCAGATCCTTATTGTATGTGGATGGTAATCCCTTTAATACCATCATAAATCCACAATTCTGAAAGAAATCATATAGGACTTACAAGATGGACATAAGAACACAATCTTCTTAGGCTCTTTGCATGCAGTGAGTAAAGCAGAATTTTGTGTATGTCTGTATTCATCCCATTCTGTATGGGGAACAAAAAAAAAACATACAACACTTTTGTAGAGAAACCTATAAGGCAAAAACCATTTTGTAGGAAAAATATTCATATGCATTTTTGAGAAAATGTTTATGAAAGTTTGAATGGGCTTGATTGTTTCAGAATAGGATCTGTGGCATGTTTTTGTGAATGTGGTGATGAATGTAGGTTGGAGAAAACTGCACAATGGGGAGCTTCATAACTTGTACTTTTCTCCAAGTATAATTAGAATGTTCAAGTCAAAGAGGATGCAGTGGGCAGGGCATGTAGCATGAATGGGATAGAAGGAAATGCATATAGGATATTGGTGGGTAAGCCAGAAGGAAAGAGACCACTGGAAAGACCAAGACATAGGTGGGTGAACAATATTAAAATGGATCTTAGAGAGACAGGATGGGATGGTATGGATTGGATTGATCTGGCTCAGGATAGGGACCAGTGGAGGGCTCTTGTGAACATGGTAATGAACCTTTTCTTCCATGAAATGCTGGGAAATTCTTGAGTAGCTGCGCAATTGCCGGCTTCTGAAGAAGTGCTGAGCTCTGTGAGCGAATCAGTGAGTGGTGATGAATGTTCTGGTTCCATGAAATCATAATTCTTCTTATCTGCTGAATAATTGCCAGATTATTAAGGAAAACTTGAAAGGCATGATAAGAAAATTGTGTTCAAACAGAATGTTGCACCATAAACAAAGCACATAGTGCAACCTTAATGTACCTAAATTCTATAGTACTCCTAAGAATGATGTTCTAATGGGTACATATAGTATCCAAAAATGGTTGAAATACATGAACTACAGGTCTGTCATTTAACTTTTATTTACCTTTTACACAATACAACATTAAGATTTAAAGAATAAATGCAGTTTTCAGCTTTATTCTCTTTTCAAGCAGTTAAGATGGGTATATGAAAATAAAAATTATTCTGCATTCTCGACATCTTTGACGCTACTGGAACCAAGAAGTTAAAGATTTGTTACATTTACATAACCTCTTTCACTTATAACCAACAAAATATTAAGGGGCTATACTTTACAGGCAAAAGTAGTTGTCTTTAACCTTCACCATTGCTCCTCAACTGGTATGGCAGCTGATATATCCTGGTAAAACCATTCAAAGAGTTTGGATTTCCAAAGCTTAATTCTCTGCGTTGCACACTTGTTTCTATTTCACTTCTCCTCCATCATATATTATCATATTTTACCTTTGTTCTTCAAAACTTTGTACATTGTTGAAGTCAGTTCATATTGTTGTCCTTTTTCACCCTTTGATGAGCTGCTTACTTTATGCATAAACATTATTTAATGAAGAATGCCGTCTTCTGGGATGGCACAGTGTAGATCTTGTGTGAACTCACGTTTCAGAGGAATGTATCGCCTCCATCTTCAGGGGAGAAAAATTCGCGAGTGAGGAACCAGCATGGGAAGGTGGTTGCAGATTGCAGCAGCCTGCTTATGCTGGTTCCTCAGTCGCGAATTTTTCTACCCTGAAAATGGTGATACATTGCTCCGAAATATGAGTTCACACAAGATCTACATGGTGTCACATCCCAGAAGACAGCATTCTTCATAGTTACTGCTGTGAAAACCTCAAATCTTATATATTGTTTAACGTTTCACATTGAAATATCGACAGTTCTGTTTCATTGACTTAAGTAGTTCTGAACACTTTTTATCTTAAACAGCATGGAGCATGACCATGGACACATTTTATGACTTATGTTCAATAGTCAAGTGACACAGTAATAAATGAAGGAAGATACCAGACTGAAAGCAAGTTCAGAAAATGTCATATGAACATGTCTTATTATCTAAAATTTGTAAGGGATTCATTCTTCATGTGGTCAAATCTACTAAAAGCTTCATCTCCTATTGCAGTAATATAACATTTTGAGGAATTGGCCCATCTTTCAATTTGCACATTAAAATGACTGTGCAAGCATGCTAAGCACTTCTATCTCAAGGCTGAGTAAATTTCCCATTTAGACATACTGTACCGAAATTTTGGAATGCATACTATCTATACAAGGGAGGGGGCCTGATGGCCAGTACTTTCACAAACCATCTACTATAAATACCTTGTGAAACAAAAGTGTAATAGAGTAAGTGCAAAAGGTCATGGCTAATTTGGGGTAGCTCATAATGATAAAAGTTGTCAGAAAAAGGCCCTAGTTTTACGTGACACTTGACCTTATATATGTCTTATCTTCATTGATTTTTATGTTCCAGTGCCCAAACCACGTCTCAATAGCAATGAGATCTCGCTTCAGCTTTTACCGGTTCTCACGGTCTCTTCGCTTGCAGATTTCTTATATTTTTTCTTCTACCCTGAAGATGGAGGCGATACGTTCCTCCGAAACGTCGGTTAACACCACATATACACGGTGCCAAATCCCAGAAGACTGCTTTCTTCATAGTCACCGCCGTGAAAGCCTCAAATCTTACAACTAAACAATGGCCCGTAAACAGCAAAAGGGGACAGTGTTTTCTCTGTGGTCAACGATGAGGTGTTACAAGCAGAATTGTTAGTAAGAAATTAGTTCAGTCAGGCAGTGGAATTAGTCGAGTTAAGTTAGTTGATTGATGAGTAAATGAGTTATTCAGAGAACTACTGATGTTCAGTCATAGTGAGTTGTTTCTGTGAGAAGTTGCTAGCTGAGGCCAGGGATAGTTCAGGAACCCAGAGGAAGGGGAACAACTGCCATTGGAAGTTGCTACTGAGCAACAGCTAGGGAAGATGTGACTGTGGACACTAGGGGTTTTGTGTGTGTGTGTGTGTGTGTATGTGTGCGTGTTACACACCTGTAAGGTGCTGACATGAGTTGTGTATCAAGGAGTCCAATAAATCCAATCTTCAATCCAAAACCCTTCTATAGCCACATTCATATGACAGTATGTATGTGTCCAAGCACATGCATGCATGTGTGTATGTGTGTGTGTGTGTGTATGGTAATATATTTATATATGTGCAGGTCCAAATCAAGTGACTACAGCCTAACTCACATAGAATTGACATGTTAAATTTCTATAACAGTTGAACAGTTCATTACTACATGTTTTAGACTCACATTCCCATAAATCCTTCCGGTCTTTCCTCGAATGAGCTCCAAACTATCAGGATTCTTCTTCTGTGGCATAAGGCTGCTACCGGTACAGTGAGATTCAGACAGACTGACAAAACCAAATTCTCTACTGCTGTAGAGAATTAAGTCTTCAGCCAGTCGACTTAAATGAACAGCAGTTAGAGAAGCCCAGAACAAGAATTCAGCTGTGAATGAAAATACAATAAAACATTTATTTCAGACAGAAACGGAGCCAAGTCATATAGCAGTGATGGTTCAAAGAATACCTCTGTCTGTCATAAAAATATTCTTGGTGGGTAAGCATTAGGACATGTGATAAAAATTATTTTATTATGTGATATCTTCACCATTACACTTTCACTAATTATGAATATTATACTAATAAGCCATCCAGTGTAACATTGGATGGCTTATTATTCCAATTATGATCAAAAGCCTGCTTTTGAGTCTAATCATACTTTTGTTGTTTTATGAAGACTTGTAACATTTTAATGTGTTAGTGAGCAGAGATTGTGTTTGGATTGGTAATTTGATTTATTGAACAGTTTTGACTCATAACTACAAATGTTTATAACACCCTCATTAATTTACACACTCTACAGATCGCTACAGCACACACTAATTCTTCCAGGCTGCTACGTCTTCACAAATCATTGCTTGGTAGTAGCTTCCAACAATTGTGATTCCTCTAATTCTGTGCTCAGAGCTAACCACCAACTGTGAGTGTCAACTTATGACCCTCAACTGACTATTGACTCATGACTCCTGACAGGGGTGTACTAGGATGCTAATTGCTAAAATGCATTAATTGCCTCTTCCTCAATTCTGAAATTGAAATAACCAGCATCCATACCTATGAAATCTCTATTCCCAACAGCATTCATACTGTTGTATGTAAATCTCGTAAAACCAAGCTCCTTGGCAAGAAGACTGCGATTAATGGAGAATGGAATCCCTGCCAGTGCTCCGCTGCCAAGAGGCATTATATTCATACGTTCCTGCACTTGTAAAAGGCGATCACAATCTTCCTTGAGATACCAGGCATAACTGATAGCAATACAAATAAAGTAGTTGTGTAAGTTTTAAGGAAATGGATGAATCAAATTGATTTGGAATAAAAATAAAAAAATATAAATTTAAATAATTTACTATATACAAAAGATAAGGCGATTATATACAGCATTGAAAATGAGCTAAACAAATCAATAATTAGACTTCATAAAAATTGAAAGAAATATAATTTATTCATATAAAAAATGAGAACTGAAGTTATTTCATCCAAGGTAGATATCCAAATACAGATCTACATTGAAGACAAGATTTTAGCTTTATAGCTATCTGGGGTGTGATATGTGCCATCAATATGATTAGGATATTAACAATAAAACACAATACATAAATTTCAGGTAATCTGTGGCAAAGCATTTATGTTAACTCTACTGGCTTGGCTAACACTTAGAAAAATAAAATAAAAAAGTTACTTTCATTGTCTTTACTTTACTTTACCTTAATAGCCAATGGCTCCACTGCACTGGCTGGGCTCGTTGGAGATGTGTGTATCCTGGTATCAGAATGCCAACCTCTGTCTTTGCTCTCTCAACCAAAATCTGGACAGGGGAACTTGCAACAGTGCTCAGTGATATCAAGCAGTGCTGTGAAAATTGTGGCCCTTTGGCTATTGTCTATGTGCTGCTTTATGCAGCTTGCAGGGTGGTATAAGTATGCAATATTTTCATCTCAGCACGGTATTGTCAAGCAAACTTTCTTTTATTCACTTTAAATTAATCCACTGCAGTTATTATCTGCTAACATACACAAATCTAAAAATGACTTGCAACACAACTTTTTACATTCAAACTTTATTATTCAACAGCTATATGAAGGCTGTCAGACAATGTACCATGGATTTCATCAATTCACTAACCATATTTCTATTCTGAAGTCAAATTTATGAAGATGCAATTTACAACAGTGGAAATATAAAATAAGATGAATTCCATGATATCATCACATGTATGAGTGACTCTCAATTAGGTTTTGTATTGAATACTGGATTTACTGACACCTTCAACACACAACTCATGACTACATTTAATTATAGTACCATTGCTAATTTTCACACTTTACAATTCACTAGAGAACATGCTAATGCTTTTCCAGACACTGTCCATTTATGTCTTTACCATCGTGCACATATCCCGCAACTGAAGTAACTCCTAGGCTGGTGGCCATCTCACATCATACTTGTAGTCTTCTCTTCACAGACTGACTTTCAACTGACTAGCTTCCAGGCTCCTGGCCATTTCATGCCAACCTCCTGGTCTTCCCTTCACAGCTCAACTTTCAACTAAGCACTCTTGCAACTAACTAGATGCCCCAAACCATCCTGGTTATAACATCTTGGCATGGACCACATAGAAAACACCATTCCTCTGTTGCTGAACCATTAGAC